AAATTTAATGGTGTATTCCTAAGATATTTTTATGAAAAAAATTATAATAATCCTAGGTCCGTAAATGCGTAATTTTCAAAATACAGGTTGTTGAACTTTTTTAAATCTTTTTTTACTAGTATCATAAAAAAACTGTGTCGATTTTGTTGAAATTTGGAGTAATAATGGGGTTATTTGGCTTTAACTAGATTAAAATTGTTAAGCTCAGTGGCGTCCTAGAGTTGCTTTGTTTACTTAGTTAATATTAGATATTTTCTTGTTTCAGAAGTCAAGAAATAGCCTTACAAAATAATGAGCTACAAGAAGAAATGGATGTAAGCAACTTCGAAAACGAATCAGCCGATGCATTTAGTGATGATAGTGTTGCCGATCCCGATTTTAATCCTGATCTTGACGATTCCAGTAATAAATTACGGATGATGATTCGCAGCCTTAACAGTTCACCCGAAGCTGAGCAAGGAACAATTTTCGTTGTACAGAAATTGGATAACTCAGTTTCTAAAACAGCAGCTGTTATTGCCCCTGACATTCAGCCTCCTGTTAAAAGACGGCAGAAAGAAAACCAAAAATATAAACGTTTAACGAAAGAAGAAAAAGTTGCTCGTGACAAAGAAAAACATCCCATAAAACCACCGAGCTCAGAAAAATGTGCTAAAAAATGCGGTTCTACGTTTTCTGAAGAAGAACGATTTGAAATTTGGGAACAATATTGGTCATTAGAATACAGTTCCAGGCGTAAATGGTTGGCTAAAAATGTCCAGATAGTACCTGTGAAGAGAAGAACTACTGTACCAGCCAATCCGGACACAGGCTTCGCAAAAGGTGATAGTCGCAAGTTTTTTTTACCTAAAGAATGTAAAAGTCAATGTGTCTGTCGCAGGACGTGATGGTCATAATATTGTCGATGCTATTTTTAGAGTTTTCCAGGAAGAACGAGATGTTAAAGAATTTTTTATTTGGACAGATAATTGTACAGGACAAAATAAAAATTGGATCCTGTACACATCGCTAATTTGGTTCATCAATCAAGAAACTGGACCGGATTGTGTGACTTTACGATATCTTACCAAAGGCACACGCATATGAGTGCCGATGGCGTCCACGGAAATATAGAGACCAAAATTAATAAGATTGGCAATATATATGATTATAGCGATCTCACCGCCGCAGTTGCTTCTTCAAGAAAGGGCCTTCAAGTTTTAGATGTAAATGTTTTTCACAAATGGGAAAAAAAGAAGAGACAAGTTCGAAAAAATAGCGATGATCCTCTCAATGGGTTTTTGTTAAGTCCAATAGTTGAGGTACGATTTAAGAAGGGATCAAAATGCTTAGAATACAAAACCGATTTTGACCAAAAAGAGTATAAATCGCTAGATTTTCTGCAGAAGAAATTTAACATCCAAAGCATGCCAGAAACGCTACCGAAACGTGGGATACAGAAATCCAAGAAAGAAGAAATCATAAAAGTGTTGGGGCCTTTAATGCCACAAAACAGGTTGGATTTCTGGAATAATTTAGTTGAAAGTGATTCCGCTCCAGACTTAATGAAAGAATATGACTGTGTTTATTTAGTCGATAGTATGTAGTGATTTGGTTCAGAAACCTTTTTTTTCCAGTATTTTTAGGATTCTCTATAAAACTAGGATTTAATTTTTAAAATACCCTTTCGTTTTTGCTATGTAAAAGTTAATTTTGACTAATTAAAAAGTTGTTACCTTTATCGTTATATTCGTATAGATTCTCCTTGCAGATACTATGTTTGGTAAAAAAAAATGTTCCATAACCTACGTCAAAACCAAGTAAGTATCAAATCTATAGCTAAAATTAAATTTATGTAAACTTTAAAGAGGCGGAAAAAAATTGATGAAAAACTGTATTACATAGCATTAATATCAAAAGAATTCGTTAAATAGCCTACAAAGGCCAAGTAAAAAAACTAAAACACATTTTATTCACAATTTTATTTTTTACACATACTGTGTTTTGGAATGGAGCAGCCGCGTTCCTGATCATTCTATATCGTGTCCTTTTTGCCACATTCTCTATCATCAAATGTAGAGGGGTGAGGTTTAAGATCACGTCCATTGCTGCCGTAGGACAGGTTCTCATTGCACCAGTAATACAAATACAGGCTAGTCTTTGTACTTTTGAGATATTAGCTCTCGTAGTAGCTAAGCTAGTTCTGTTACTCCAGGCTATAGCCCCGTAAGTGATGATTGGTCTCACCATTGCAGTATACATCCATCGCAGTATGTTTGGGTTACATCCCCATCGTTCACCTGCAATGTTTCTGCATACCATTAGGGCTTTTGTGCTCTTATTTACTACTTCATTCTCATGTGTGTTCCAGAGAAGTTTGTTGTCCATTGTTAGGCTTAGATATTTGACTTCATTTTTTCATTCTATATCTATCCCGTCTAATTTAACGGTTTTGAGATTGTTTTCTTTTCCTACTAGTGTTTTTTTTTGTAGGGTTTATACAAAGTCCCACTTCATAGCACCATCTTTTTGTATGTTCTAGTCCTCGTTGGACTATATCACACATAGGATTGCCAACCGTCCTGCATTTCGGTGGACATCCACCATTTGGGGTGCATTGTCCAGTGTCCTGCAACAACAATAAATTGCAGGACGCTTACTGTACTTAATTTTAGTGTCTTAAATAATATCTTCAATTTATTATATTTTATATTCTCATTGGCATCGTCACTTATTTTGTAATTTGTATTTTCTATTTTTGGGTCCAATGCTAACGCTAAAAAGATATTTTCAATGTGTTCAGCTTCATGGACTGACGTGCGTAATCGAATGTCCATTGAACACATCAAGGCCGAACTTCAAACAAAGATGAGTTATTCTACTACTTGCAAAGAATTATAATTTTAGCTAACAAGAAATTAATAGTAGCTGCAAAAAGTAAAAAAATATGACTTTAAACGCAGTGACACTGCAACTTTTTATATTCCTCTTATGATATTTGTAAATAGAATGTTTAATCATTAGTTTCTATTTACTTCGTTTTTTTGTCGAATTGTTTGTTTGTTTGTTGTTTTTGCAATAATAAAAATGTCCAGAATTTATATCGTATGTCCTGAATTTTTATTACTCTCGTCCAGAAAATTTTAAAAATAAAGTTGGCAATCCTAATCACACAGGATATTTCCAAACTTGCATCTAGCAAATATGACTATAGGCATTTTCGGAAATCTAGATTACTGGTTTTACCCGATGGATCACGTGGATCACTGAATTTAGTGCGGACAGTTTGCGAACGAGTTGGATTATTGATCCTGTTTATCTACGGCTGTCAATCTTTGACTTTTCTCCCTTATTTGTTAAAGAACCATTTTAATTAAACATGTTTGTAGTCTTATTAATAAAGTCGCAATATGGGCATAAAGATTACAAGTTATAACTAATCGAATGTAGAAAAAACTTCAAATTTACTACTCGCAGACACTAAACACCAAAAAATTGCGTTATCCCTTTATAAAATCCTGCGGAGCGCTCGCGGATCTATTAGTAATCTACTCGCAGAGTGGGTCACAAAATATTGATCTCGATCACAAAGCTGGATCAGTAATCTACTAGTTTCCAAACACGGATAGGGTTAGTAACCATAGGTAAACGAACAATAGGATCCATATTCTTTCTGATCCGAGTAAGTTTCCGAAAACGCCGAAGGTCGTCGGCATAACCTTGACAGGGTATGCCAAGGTCAATCAATCTGCATAGAAGTTCGTCTACAATTAGGCTCCACATTAGTTAGGATAGAACATCTTGTGGACATCCTCTGGTTGTGCAAATGGAGATGGTGTCCTACCCTATTTGTCTCTGCAGTTCTCGTAGATAACAGCTGAGCCATCCATCTGAATGTGATGTTATCTACGCCTCTGTATGCAAGTGCTCTTTTTACAGATTCGTGTGGCGCGTTGTCAAAAGCTCCTTCTATGCCTAGGAAGGCATACACGACCGTTTCTTTGTTTGTCAGTAGTGTATCTTGGATTACGTCAGTCAACTGTACCAGGGCAGTTTCTGTAGATCTTCCTGCTCGGTACGCGTGTTGGCTGTGGTGGAGTGGCACCCTCTCCAGGACTTTCGTTCTGATATAATTATCAACAACTTTCCCTATTGTGTTTAATACAAAGGATGTGAGGCTGATTGGTCGGAAGAATTTAGGATTTGTCCATTATTAGGACGGGATAGCCGGATTATGTGGGGTAGTAATTCCTCCTCTGTGTCCGCTGAAGCAGTGCAGGAAATATTCCATTCACGCCTGGAGATTTAAACGGCTCAAAAGCGGCCTCTCTATAAAAGTAATTAGTGTGTTTAATTTTTGTTTAGATTTCAAATTTAGGTTGATTTCTAGTCTTAAAAGTCAAATTTAAAAAATATAAACTTCTCATTTTATCACGTGACCAATAAAGTCTAGAGCGTTTGTTTATTACATCTACATTCAGATCTAATCCTTAACATGGGCGCTGCCATCCGAGTGCAAGGAGGTGCATTTGCCCCCCTGGATTTATGATTTTTTTTCTTCTCTATGGCTATCGACTGTAGCCTGGCGGCGTTTTGACCCTGCCTCTAAGACTTGTCCCTCCTGGAATTTTTTGAAGAGCGCCCATGTGTGTGAATAACTTTTTTTTTGAGAACCGAGGACTGGTTGAACTAGATTGTCACTAAAGAAAGTACTGCCGCGTATGTTATTTAAAATTTGGCCAAGTTTTTCATTTATCCATTTTCTTCGTTATTACATCGATTGCATCCGTTTCAACGTGATTGTAATTGCTTATTAAGATACTATTTGAAAAAATTAGATTTTTTTTGTTTTTTTTTTTATAATTGTTTAAACTCTAATTATAATCGTTTTTTAAAATTACGTTATTAATATTGACATCAGCATTTGCTCTAATTTATTTCAAAAATATCTACCAAATCTTAGCTTTTTAGCTTTGTAAAATTAAATACTATTTAACTCTTATCTTAATGCTTATTTTCAGATATTTCGGTAGAAAACGGCTACAAGAAAATGACGAACCTTGGGTAGACGGCAGCAATTATCTAGTTCACGCTGGTTACTCCTATTGGACGCTGGGCTACGCACTTAGTTTAAGGGGTGCGCGAAAACTTTTACAAGGAGATCCCCTTACTCGTCTTGTTCCAGTCGATGAGTACCTTCCTATTTTGTTCGATAAACATCCTCAAGATTCTTGGAAAGGACATTTTCCCAGAAGGGATTTGGTCGCGTACTCAGCCGCACCACTTTTGATTTATCCCACTCATTATACAGGTGAAAAGGGGTATATTAGCGATACTGAAGATTCTTTTCTGGTACCTGAGGTGTTGAAGGTTACTAGAGAAGATTTATAAATAATTATCAAATTTTATTATGTAGATGAGTATTTTTTATATTAATGTTTGTTACTAAAATGTGTAGGTCCAATTGTAATCCACTTTAAAAATGGTTACAAGGCAGAAGGTGAAGATACAACAAGGAAACTACTAAAATTATGCAACAGTTTAACAGTTCTAAAAGACTTCTTATCTTTTCGTCATTATTTCAAAAATACACCACTCTTCCAGTTAAACTGGAAATAAAACTTTTTATACGACTCATCTCTCTCAAAAAAGACGTTTTTTTAAGCTTTAATAATAGTTATATATCGAGAGAAGACACACTTGTTATGTATGTAATACGCAATTTTTAAACAAAATATTGTGACTGTTTTTAAAGTTAGGTGCACACTACGCTGATTTTTAATTTTTAACTTCTATAATTTTAAAAAAATTGACAATCGTTAGTTGTTTATAAACAAAAAAGTACTTTCTCCCCTTCTTGTTCTTCAAAACCGTTTGGTAAAATTAGAATTTTATTTTTTTGAACTTTCGAATTGTTTTGAACGTCCAGATGAAACTTATTTTTTTTAGATGTTGGTATATTTTTGTAACAAATCAATAATTAAATTACTAAAAAATATATTTTTATGTAACCAATTAGGCATTTCCGAACAAAATGGCTACCGGTGGGTTTTGACAGGTTATGATATGGCAACCCTGTAGGCCTGGCGATTTGACAGAGTCAATGATATAGATTGGTCATCCATGTTTTTCACTCAGATAAATAAATAATAATAGATAACTGAATGTCAAAAATTTACATTGCGTTTGTTTGAAAGCAACATATACAAGCCAGTTGTTAGGAGGGGAAGAGCGGGGTTTGTTAGTTTTATTATCCAGTAGCGTATCAAATAAATGTCAATAGAAATGCTTTTGATTTATATTATTTTATTAGTTTTGAGATATTTCAATGGATCAATGTTTCTAATATGAGATGTTTATAGAAAACCGTCAAAAATGAATTTTTCAGTCGACCAATACATATATTTTTTAAATTAAAAACATACATTACTTTTATACACAAATAATTTGAATAAACGTTGCAATGATAGGTTTTATAAATTCTAAATTTTTGTACTATTTTTTAATAATATCTATTCTTTTGTAAATTATTTTTATTGATTTGTTATGAGTACCGCTTATATATCTAATAAAAAATAGAATACAGTGGGGTCTATTCTGTAAAAATTCCTTTATATTTAACGGCATTTAAAAATATTTTCTTCTTTACTTCTGTCATTATTTAAACGGATCTTTAAAATACATTAGAGGATTATCTTAAAGAAATCTGTTTAAATAATGACAGAAGTAAATTAACGAATACAAATATACTTTTAAAGGCCGCCAATATTTTTAAAGGCCGTTAAATATAAAGGAATTGTTACAGATTAGACCCCAGTATCTGTTTATTGTTAGTTCCTTTTAAGTTAATTAAATTTTGTGCACAAAATATTTATGGTTTTTAATAATTGGGAAAGTAGGGTTAAAAAAACAATTTTTATAATAGGTATGTATTTCATTTTATTAAATAGTTGGGTTAGATCTGGAAAACAAAACAAAGACAAATGTTATAATAACAGTTTAGAATAAAGCGATACTTATGTAATAAATGATAAGTTCACAATTACCGTTTTAAAATATTGCCAAGGTTTTCTAATACACAATATTTTGAATAATGAAACTTAATTTCGATGAATTCTTGTCAGTTAGAAATAGAACAACGTTAAGCAATTTTTTAGAGACGTTGTGTTATTGTACTCATTTGGTTTAATAACAATTAATAATGGATAATGGGGTGATTATAATAATAATAATAATAATTTAGTTGCCAACAATTTTCCTTTCACATAACTAATTTATAAATCAAATAATTATGTGACAGGTACCTAGATAACTAAAACTAAAATTCATTAACTACAGATAAATAAAACCCAACAATTTTCCTACTACACAATTTACAAATTAAATTAATTATGAGACGTGATAATAAGTAAATATAATATACATTCACTTGAGATGTTGTTGGGAATGGGGTGTTAATACACTCTGCGACCTAAAAGATCTATTGTGCCCCTTCTGTCGCTAATGCACCAAGGAAATGTCTCAATGCCTATAACGTCCCTTCCGATCCTATCTTCCCAAGGAAGTGTAGGATTTGGAGTGGCTTCGTGTTAGGTAAATCTCTGCTCTGTCTTTTCTATTTGATATCTTCCTACTAGGTATATATGCTGCGTTTGAGAATCCACATCGGATGCATTTTTTACATCTCGAGCGTTTTTTTATCCACATCGGACACATCTGTCCCATTACATTTACTTATACTGCATCACGTGATCAAAGATTTTTTACATCTCAGATGCATCCGATGTGGATTCTCAAACGCAGCAAATGTGCCCTTGGATTCTGGAGTACTACACATTCAGTTAGAATGTGAATGGAGGTTTCGTCCTCCTCCTCACAGAATCTGCATTCACTATCATCTACTATCAGTTTACTAAGGTTTCCTTTAAGTCGATAATGCCCGGTAATAATCCCTGTTACAATACGAAGCCTGTTCTTGCTCAGGCAGATGCAGGCTGTGATGTATGCCTTATTTATACACTACTCAATAAAATAACACCTTGTTGTAAGCTTTTATTCTCTAGTATTCTGATAAACACAGTAATTCAGTAATGGTTATAATACAAGACAAAACTCAAGATGAAATACGAACTTGTAATACAAGAACAAGACAATGCGCATCTGACTCTTATTTCGTACTCGTGGCGGCATCTACGTACGATCTATAATCCTACGGGGTCACAGACTACAGATGACTGTGATATAAGGAGAAACAATTATATGAAGCTGAAACATAGATGGCGTCACGGGTACTAACATTACCATTTATAAATGGGTATACAGAATACAGATCTCACACAGGCTTCCGATGTTTCCTGGTTATATTCACCCAGAAGTATCTTAGCGTGTCTTACCCTTAAGAGATTGATCCAATTATCGGTTCTTATACTGCCCAATTATTTTTTAATCTCGTCGTGGACGTTTGAACGAGAAAAGTCAGTAAATGCATCGCCTTTCAAGGGGATGCTTTAGATGTTCTTCAGACTGTACCTGTGGAAAAAAACGGATGACTTTGAAAGACTTAAAGGATCGTAAGCAGAATCGAGACAAGTGTCCAAGAATACGAATTAGATATTTCCAGAATGATGCGATACTGGCAACCATTTTCCTACTACACAATTTACAAATTAAATTAATTATGTGACGTGTAACTATATAATAAGTAAATATAATATACATTCACTTGAGATAAATGAAACCTCTTTTAATTTAGACAATAAGAAAACATATCATAATAATTACATATATTATTGTGTTATTAAAATATGAATAGGTAATTAAAAAAATTACAAAATTTATTGGTTCCCGTACTAATACTTAGATTATTCAAATTAATTAAACAAAGACAAAAAAACATTTTTATTATTTATAGTTTTTGTTCAAATACTCACTTAGTTTCAGATGTGACATAGTTTCCAGTTGAGGAACAGCTTCAGGATGTGAGTAAAATAAGGGCATTACTCCTTTCATTAAAAACATTTTTCCTCCTGGAGACTTAGCAAAGGCAGAATGTCTTGAACAAATTCTACTGAATACACTCTTCATCCACATATATCTAGTTTGAGGATCTTTTGGAAACCTAAATAGGTATAAATAGTGTTTTCTTATTCATATAGGTAGGTATATAGGATTTCATGTAATACAGAATGCAACATAGTATACTTTAAAATAACTATGGTGTTCTAACAATATATTTTGTCATTAAAATAAAGCAATACTAAGATTTTATAACTAAAGTAAATGCCACTAGAGCCTTCTTAAATGTACAGTGTGCATAACAATATAACTTTAATTTAAAGATAGCCTATTAATAAATTCAAAGTTAGTAAACACAGGCACAATAAAATAATTCGAAATTCGACGTGGAATGGTATTTTAAACTTTAAAATAAATTGTTGTTGTTTAAACCTTATTTTGAATTATGATACCCCTCAAAAAAGTGTGATGCAACGGTAATGGTTTTTATTTACTTACCTATGAAACTGAATTTGAGATACTTTCTCGAGCACACAATACAATTCACTGGCATTTTTAAGCAATTAAATGCACTAAAATAACTTAAACCACAAAAATTTTTCAATTAAAGTACGAAATAAACTCAAAATGAACCACAAAATAATCATAAAATAACTAACCTAACTAACGTAGTCCTGTCAATTTTTTGCTAACCAATCAGGTGTGTAACCAAAATAGCGAATATCCAATCAAGTCGTGTAACCACTGCTATGTAGTGAGAGGAGATGCTGGTTACAAATATTGCATGATAGGGCTGTATCTATTATTTATTTATTTATCTGAGGTTTTTCAAAATAAACATAAGCTTACGTCTTCAAGTGAAAATGTGGGTAATTATTTTTTTACTCTATTCAAAGAAAGAACATTGGTTTGTAAACACATTTTTGCGAAACCAATTCTGATTAATGAGCACTTACGAGACAATATGGCAAAGGATTCGCTTTAAGCGTTCCATATGTATATCAATGATAACAGGTCCACAGGGTTGCCATATCTAAACTGTCAGTTCCCACTTGTCAGAATTTTGATAGGTCGTTGGAATGCCACATAACATAATACATAAAAACATTTGAGGTTAAAAAAATATCAATATACAGTTTTTTTTAATTATTAAGTCAAAAATATTTGTAATTTTGATTAATTTTAAATTGATTTTTCTCAATCTCAATAAGCTTTGCTATTATATTTTAACTTTTTTGTCGTTGGTTTTAACAATAATAATTGGGAGTGATATTCCTAAAGTGGTAAAAAGAAGCCAATACAATACCTTGTGATTAAGGTAATCAAGATACAAAGACTATTTAACTGTGCCATATTAGATATATATTATAATGTGCCTTAAATTTTTATTATATTTATAGTATATAGTGCCATTTTGTTTAATTTAGTTTAATAATGTTTTATAAATAAATTGCTTTATATTATGCCTATGTTTGTTTATTAATTAGAAATTATACACTATAATGTATAATATAACTCAAAGATATTTTTCTGCGACCACTACACATCAAAAATGTCGTTCCACACGGTCATTTCAGAGTACGTTGAATACATTGTCGTATAACCGTTCTAATTAACAGTGCTGTTCTTAAAGTGGCGCTGGGAAACAGTGACGAGGCCTGTCTGTAGGGCTGCAAAAGTATTAGAGTACTAGAACTTCTGCATTATGGAATATTAGACTATACTAGTAGGTACCATAAATATATAACCAAGACAGATACGATTATATACAGAAGCACAATAGTAAGTAACAGTAGTAATGTATATACATTAGCTTGCAATACTGTTTGTCTTTAAATCATCGGAAGAAATTTTGTTTGGCAACAGCGCAATAACTTTTAATGGTATTTGTAGATTAGTTGTAAATTTGTTTCATTCATTCAAAGTAACTTTTATTTAAAGAATTTTCTTCTGCAAATATAAATAACGGATATATTCCATAAAATATAAAAATGGACCCCTATAAAGTACCCCTCCAGATGTTCCGACGCTGCCAAAACTCTAATCAATTCACTGCAGGATATAGACATCATCGCAAAAACAGTCAAAACGGATTCAGGGGAACCCAAAACGTAAAAATCCGTCGAAAACTCGAGGTCGAAAAAATCATAAATTCTATACTTTCCTTATCTGTATACAGATAGGAAAGTAAAGAGAAGAAAATTCATTTCATCGTGACTAACTTCATTGTTTTCAAAATCACAAAAAGAAGAAAAGACCTAAAATCATAACCTCATTTTTAATGTATCTCATGTTGATCATATTTTAAATTTTTTATTTTAATAAATAGAAAAAATGAATTATGTCTGCCTTTAAACTACAATTTCTCAAGCATTTACGCAACAAAACTAACATCACTCTAATATCAGTTAGTACGTGCTTTAGAAATTATAATAATTTAGCAGTTGATAATATTCCAGAAGTATCGAAAACTTCGATTAAAAAAGCTTTGAAATTAAAAAATATTGGCTTTGAAGAAGGATTTACATGTTTTATTACATCATGTATTCTATGCCAGAAATCTAGCAAAAATGCCAAATTGTATATTAACAAAAATACAGGTATGGATTTAATACTATATAATTTCTGTTGTATGTGCGTTTTTTGTTAATCTAATTGGGTTTTTAATTACAATCACAAATCTCCATTCCGAGAATTCGGTTTTTGAAGTGCGATAAAAGTTACTTGATCTTGCATTTTAATTAAAAAACCATAGTTCTCTGTTTATTAACAGACTTCAAAAAAGGAGGAGATTCTCAATTCGTCCCAATATTTTTTTTATGTATGTTTAGCGATAATTCTTTAATACGGTGTCCGATTTTAATAGTTATGGTTAAAATCTAATAATTGGGTCCATGAGAAAATCCTCACTCTTAATTTTTTATGTATGTTTAGCGATAATGCTTTACCACCTTGTCCGATTTATATGATTCTTTTTTTGTTAGTAAGGGGGTACCTCAGGGGTGGTCCCATATAAATTTGGTTAAGATGTGGTGATGGCATCTGCACGTTTTTGAAGTCTTTTTTTTTAATTTTTAATGTCTTATACTTGTTTTAATTTTATATTCAGTCTTACACCCCAGATTTTAAGTAGGTATACCTAACTAAAATTTTAATATCTTTTTGTCTAAATTGGTGTTTTAACTCTATTTGTAATAATAGTATTTGGGTTTATAGTAAGAAACCATATTTGGGTCTAGAAATGCACATATTCACACCACTCTGCACTGACGTCTAGAATTTGAATTTGACACAAATTAGAATTTTGTAATTATCACTAATGAAAGGTATTATTGACATTAAAAATCCAGATTATATTACTTGAACATTTTTTTATTTTTTTGGTATTTTTAATAAATTGGTAAATAGATGATTAAAAGTAAAATAGTTATTTCATTATGCTTATTCCCTGGTTCCAAATAATTAAATATAACCTGGCAACTACACATAACAATTCTATCAGAACTAGCCAAAATAGGAATGGTTGCAGACAGGTGCATTTTCAGACCCTTCAACTACAAGATTACCCCATAAATGTTTTTGTTTCTGTCTATGCAGGTCTGTTTATGTGTAGTGCATGTAAGAAAACAGGTCAATGGAATATATTAGAATCATCTTTAAATAACAAAAAAAGTAAAAAGGCAAGCCTTCAGGAAAACGAGACAGAAAATGAAAGCGAAAAAATTCAGAGGTTTCTTAATGAAATTCAAAGTACCACTAGTTACTTAAAAGCTCTTGATGAAGAAACTTTAAATAAAATGTTACACAAATTTAGGTTGCCTGTAAGTATACAATTATTTTTTAAAAGATTTGTAAACAAATGGTTTTTGCCACCATGTGTATATTTGAGGAACTACATATTCATTTTTTAAGTACTTTATATTGAATGTTTTTTATAGACTATTTTGCAAATTTAATTAAAATTAAATATGTACTCAAAAAAAAAAATTGATTATTATGAAAAACCTTCAAGTGTAATAAGCTAATAATTATATAATAATCTTCCAAAGGATTTTCCTCTTACAACAATTTTAAGTAATTGCTTATTTTTATAAACATACCAATCAACTAAGTTTTAAAACTAGAGTTTTTCAGGTACTTCCAAAACCTATTTTTGATATCATTGATGTGAGACTGAATGAAAAACAAACTTCTATATACTTTCCACTAGAAAATGTGGAATCTGAAATAGTTGGTTATAGAAAAATTCACAGTCGAATACACGAAGATTTAATATTACCAGATGAAACTTGTGGAGGAATTTTAACGGTTAGAGCACCAAAAAGTAAAGACACAGCAGTATTAGTTCCCAGCATTTCCGATTTTTTGATTCTTGCCAATTCCAGAATCAATGTAAATATTGTTTGTTTGCCCAATGGAGTAAATAACTTACCATTGTACGTTTTACCAAGTTTGGAGAGATTTAAGAAGTTGGTACTATGGTTCGGCAGTGATAACAAAAGTTGGACAGCGTCTAGAAATTTTGCTAAAAAATTAGGCGAGAAAAGGTGTCAACTTGTCAGGTATGATTTCTACACCTTAAATATAGTTCAAATGTTTTGCTTTTATTAATATTTTTTATGTATCTGTTTTACTCTCTCAGTGGTTGTGCTAGTAGGTAAATCTCATGTCCATTTTCAGTATTGTGACGAAAGTCCAATTTATTTTTAGTTTATTTATTTAAAACACACTATTTACAATTTATTTCAGACGTACCATTTAATTTATATAATACTTAAACACTAACAATTCTAATTTATTTCTTACACTTTAACTTTTCAATACAATGTTCTGTATTAAACTGTCTATATAATCCACTGACTGCCATCCTCACACACGCGATATTTATATCAAGCCAACTCTGTAACTAGAATAATCCCGATGGTCGGTAAAATTTCAATTTTGACCTTAGATAAAAGAGACCAGAGATATAACATACACCGGTTTTAAACCTGCGCAAATGTTGCCAATTTCTAAAGAAGGGTTAACGGAGTGGGGGAACTGGGCGGCGACACGCGGCGACCCGAACTCTGTGACAGGGACCGGACTTTGTTTATTAGCATCTTAATGAACTATTAGGTTTATTTAAAAGGTGAATCGAATTTTGTATTATGAAATAAAATTAACGTGATTTTTTAATATCAAACAGATGCCACGACATTTTATGTAAAGAGAAGACATTTTATAGAATATTTCGTTAGCGTTTATTTACTACAGACTTTTCTGCAAGAGATTACAGTAAAATGTTGAAATAGAATATATTGTTAATAGAGCAAAAAATGTTACTCATTGTCTACGAGTATTATAAAAATAGCATGTGCGCAGGCTAATACTGCAAATCTACCCTTATGAGTTGAACATTATATTTTTTCTACGGCTATTACATATTATTAAAAATTAGTCAAAATGAGAAAATGCTCTTTTGTAGTGTAACCTCAGAAAAAAGTATTTTCTTTAAGAATATTAATTATTATAAAGGATGAGTCACATAAAACTCTAGAAATGCATATGTCTGAAACCAGATAACATTTTAAAATTTAAATCTATTAAAAGTCATTTGGTCGCTAGGGATGAGTGATTATCAAAATAAATTATCGATCATTGAAAATAATCGATTATTTTCGATCAATCGATTATTTTCAAACAATATATTTTTTGTCATTTCCTTTAAAATCGACTACTTGATTATCTTTGAAAAATCAAAAATAATCGATTAATTAAAAAGCCAATAGAGGACTTCTATACAAGGGAAGTGCAACCAACTTGACAAAATAAAATTGACACTAATGACATAAGAAATCGGGTCACATAAAGAGACTGTTTTTTAGTTTGATTTTTGGTTTTTCCTATCTACTTTCATGCCATTTGCATACCTTGTTGTACCCGTAACGTGAAAAAGACTTTTTAGTTTAGGGTATTTTACATTTAAAGGTTGAAATATTTTGTCATTGTCAGCTGTCAATTATGTTGATGATAGAACACAGGCGTAACCATAGATGGGCATAACGTAATTAGTATTGTATGTTGGTTGTATATTTTATAGAACTTGTATTCGTAGCAGCAGCATGTTGCAATCGACATAAGTAAATAAAACCAAATGAAAAATAATGTTTCAAGAAAGCAGGAGAAACACATTTAAACTAATAACAACAAAAAATAAAATGCAATGCTACGCTTATGTTTTGACATTATCGACAGCTGATATTGACAAATGTTTTCAACCTTTAAATGTAAAATACCCTAAAATAAAGTCTTTCACGTTACGGGTACAACAAGGTATGCAAATGGCATGAAAGTAGATAGGAAAAACCAAAAATCAAACTAAAAAACAGCCTCTTTATGTGACCCGATTTCTTATGTCATTAGTGTCAATTTTATTTTGTCAAGTTGGTTGCACTTCCCTTGTATAGAAGTCCTCTATTAACCGATAAATCAGTGTTTACAAAATATAATATAAATAGAATTATCGTTTATTTTAAATAATCGATTATTTTCAAATAAACCATTTTTTTTCGTCCATGGAAACAGATTATTCGATAATCTTTGAAAAATCGAAAATAATCGATTAATCAAAAATAATCGATTAATTAAAAAGTCGATTAACTGATAAATCGATTTAAAAAAAAACAGAATGATCGATTATTTTAAATAATTGATTATTTTCGATCAATCGATTATTATCAATAATCTATTTTTATTGTATTTCCTTTAAAATCGTTAATTCGCTTATCTTTGAAATACCGAAAATAATCGATGATTCCAAAATAATCGCCTAATCGAAAATAATCAATTAATTAAGAAGCCGATTCTATGATAAATCGATTATTACCAATAATCTATTTTATTGTATTTCAAAAATAATCGATTAATTAAAAAATCGATAACTGACAAATCGATTTTCAAAAAAAACAGAATGATCGATTATTTTAAATAATCGATTATTTTCGATCAATTGATTATTATCAATAATCTATTTTTATTGTATTTCATTTAAAATCGATAATTCGATTATCTTTGAAATACCAAAAATAATCAATAATTCCAAAATAATCGCCTAATCGAAAATAACCAATTAATTAAGAAGCCGATTCTATGATAAATCGATTTTCCAAAAAATAAAACGAATTATCTATTATTTTCTAATAATCCTTTTTTCATATTTCCTTTGAAATTGATTATTCGATTATCGAAAATAATTGATTATTAAAAAGCTGATTATCCAATAAATCGATAATTTAAAATAACCGATTATATTCAATCGATTATTTTCATATAATATCTTTGAAAAATCGAAAATAATCAAATAATTAAAAAATCGATTAACCGATAAATCGATTATTTTGAATAAATCTACTTTTTTTGTATTTCCTTTAAAATCGATTAATACATTATCTTAAAAAAAAACGAAAATAATTTATTAAAAACAGCGGATAAATCGATTTTCATTAAAAAATATCAGAATTATCGATAAATCGATTATTTTTGTAACCCCTATCGGTCGCTTGCTTTTATCTGAGCATTTAGCTCCAAAATTTAGAGATTCGGATTTTTTGATCCAGTTATCTTTGAAATCGCATTCGATTGTATAATAAATAAATATTGCTAAATTTTGGATTTTTTTTAGTAAACGAAAATTATGTTCGAGTTGTTCAGGGGTTTGTAATGTAACATTTTATTAACGTGACTAAGGGTCGATTCCACCGTTATGTTAAACGAAGTTTAAAATGACATTTTTACATTAACACTGTCAATTTAATCTCCGTTTAACACAACGGTGGAATCGGACCTAACTCCTGTAACTTTAGTATTTTTTTTTTGCTTATACTAGATTACTTTGTTTTAAGACTGAAAATTCAATGTCACTTTCGATTTGACCGCAAATAAGATGAACCTTGAAATTTTAAGTAGGTCATCCTGTATTTCATCTAATATTCTTATAAAAATACCTTATAAAAATAAAATTTAGCTATGATTCTTTACCTCTTATTTATCTACCAAAAAGGGCTAAAAACTACCTTTAGAAAACATTCTTATAAAACTACTTTTTAAATAAAAAATTTCGTTAGCAATAATGCCTATTTACTATTTATTTAAATTAAATGTTCAAAATTTTACCCTTTTGTAAATTTATGTAAGTAATATGAAATCTGATTTCTGATGCTTAATATTTATTGAAACCCCTTAATGCGGATCTGAAGTATTCAGCCCAGAGAATCATGGCGCTTTATGTCAAAAAGTTAATAAATATTTACCGCTGAAAACGACTATATTCATAACAGTAGTACTTGTATTATAAGTACATACAATTTTTCAAGATACATCGTGACATTTTGAACTTGAAATTGATTAACTAGAACACTTTAAATTGCTAAAATATCAACAAATAAATCAAAAAACAGCTGTCAATGGTGATTAAACTCAGGTGGAGGTGATCGCTGAATGGAAATCGGAGCAATTCGGGTGGCGTCGTGCAACAATGATTTTCAATTGGTGGGTTACTTTGGCTTAAAATAGACAACATGCGCAGTGTGCAATGTTACATCTTCGGTCTCTTTAATCTAAGATTTTGACTCAACGGCACACTCCGTCCGTTCTACCCGTTTCTAGAGCCTCAGCGACATTCCCAGAATATTCCATCGCCTCTAGCATGAATCGGCTGCCCAGACGTGAAGGCCGCGTGCTTAGACAGAGTCGGACTTAATAATTTCATGACAGTATGAACAGTAATTTTACATTTATAAAATTAATATAAATATGTAACATAAGATTAAGTAAATAAAATTAAACAAGATGAATGGTAAAAACCCTATTTACAAAAATTCAAAGCTGTATCAATTTGTAAATCATAATTTTCATATCAAAAACATGTATTTAAATAATATTTTTAGGCCTACAGATAAACAGAAACTACCTCACTTGGATCCTAGTCAAGATTTCAAATCTATTATATCATCGGCTCAACCTATGTGGCATAAATCAGTTACAACATTCTCTTCTTTGAGATCTGACGTTTTATCTGACCTCCAAAATATCGATAAGGTGAATATTAACTTTAGAAATATAAATATTTTTCCAAACTGTAATTTAAAAAAGAAGAAGAATTGTATGCTCAGACATGCGTTATTATTTTTCCATGGCCTACTTTATAAATAGTTTTTATAAAAGGAATTGATTAAAAATTTGCAATACAAGAAGATAAAAAATAACAAGAAAAATGATTTGACAATTACTTTTCAAATTACAAAGTTACAAATACATTAATTCTGTGAAAAACCTTTTTTATTTATCATCTATGGCAGCATAGTGTGTCGAGCTGCCGGTATTTATTTTCGCGGGGGGTTACGTCGGCCAGATACGTTCAAGCTATCGACAAATGTATGCACTTTATAGAAAACTTTTTTATTCACAAAATCTTAGAAAATTTTATTCTTGATAAAAGTTAGTACATGACGTAGTACAAGCTTCATACAAAAATTTGAACCATATACGAGGGAGATAAAAAAATATGAATTTACTTCAAGAGAAAAGAACGTTTATTTCTCAAAACGGAGAAAAAAGTTACTTGAAAAATCATTATTTATCACCAAATATAAAAAATCACAATCACCATCCAGAAAACTATGATTGCTCTTTACTTGAGCCAAATTCATATTTGTTAACCTACCTCTGTATGGTAGGTACACATTTTGAGATTTTTTTTGAATTTCCAAATTACTCAACCATTTATTTCAGATATTTATTTGACTTTCGGATTTCGATTAGCAATTTCACTATAAATACATTCACAATTTTATTGCATCTAATTTAGTTAAATTTGATATTACTAATGATGAAATTTTCCTTTAGCCTAACTGGTGATCAGATTTCTCTCTTTATACAGGACCCCAAATTAAAACTCAAAGAAAATTAGATACAAAATTGACAAGATACATTTTCTCAATCTAATTAGTTTTATAACAACTATTACTAATTCATTATTTGTCATAAACCTGTGTTGTTTAAAACTTTGTTAAAAATCGTAAATAATTTCATTTCTGGAAGCTCGACTCCAGTACTATTATTATTTTAAGCTATTTTGATTTATAAGATTGCCTTTATTTTTGATTGCTTCTATAGGAAATAAAATTATTTTATTCTGTGTATAAATTTGCTGGATATTTTCACAATGAATCTTAATATTTATTATCAAAATTGTAGGGGCCTACGTACGAAAACTTCAGAATTTTATCAAAACGTATTGGCTGAAAATTATGATGTAACATAACTGAAACCTGGTTGCATGATGGAATATATAATGCAGAATTATTCAATCAAGATTATAATGTATATCGGAAGGATATGTCTCTGGAAAAAACTTGGAAAAAATCTGGTGGAGGTGTATTAATTGCCTTATTAAAAAAATATAATTCATTTGAAATTAATGTAAAATCTGATTTAGAAACAATTTTTGTTAAAGCAGTTATAATGGGTAATAACATAATTTTTAACACAGTATATATTCCTCCTAACTCTACAAGCCAAAAGTACAATGAATATATTGACCTATTCGATTTTGTGAGTATGAATACTAAAACCGACACACATTACGCAATTTTAGGTGATTTTAATATTCCACAAATTACGGGTACAACTTTTAAAACTAAAAATTGTAGTCAAAATCAAATTATAAATATAATATTTTCCTTTATGGATATATATAATCTAAAATTATACAATAATTGTCTAAACTCAGATAACAGAACATTGGATTTGGCTATTTGTGATATACCAATAGCTATTGGTGAAGCATTGCCGCTAGTATCAATCGATAAAAAACATCTCCCTCTAAACTGCCAGGTGTTATTAAATAAGAGACACAAATGGAGGTCTCAAGAAACTCACCTGGAAAATAAATACAATTTTAAACTTGCTAATTTCGATCAAATGTGTGATGATCAGGTAGACTATCTATATACAATAATATATAGTATACTTGATCGATGCGTTCCGAAAATTAGAATTAAAAGTAATAGAAAGCATTTTCCTCCATGGTTCTCAGTAAAAATTAAAAATAAATTAAAAGAAAAAGATTATAGTAGAAGAAAGAAAAATGTTTCTTCTTATTATTTAAATAACTATAAAAGACTTAGATCTGAACTGAAAGTAGACATAAAAAACGCTCATAAAAAATATATTGCAGAAGTCGAGAACAAGCTAGTGGAAAATCCAGCCTATTTTTGGAACTTTGTTAATTCAAAAAAAAAACAGAACGAATCAACTACTACATTTAATCTTACCGATGGAACAACAAATGATCCTGAGAGAATAGGTGAGGCATTTTCCGATTACTTCTCGTCTGTTTACACTCGGTCTGATAACAATAGTAACGACTATGAAACAAATACAAAAAACTCGGATATTCTTTCTCTCACACATAACGTTCGCAGATATGGAAAATGCATTTGGTAAACTTAAACCAAAAAAATCTTCCGGTACGGATAATATACCTTGTTACGTAATTAAGGCATGTAAAGAATACCTGCTATATCCGCTAATGGTCATTTTCCAAACTTCATTGAAAACATCTGTATTTCCCGAACGGCTAAAGGAAGCTAAACTCACACCAATTTTTAAAAAAGGTAGAAAAGATTTGATTTCTAACTATAGGCCTATAGCAATTCTTAATGCTGTAGCTAAAATATTTGAAAATATTATTTATGAAAAAATGTTCTGGCACGTTAAAGAAGCCATTTCGCAGTCTCAGCATGGTTTCTATCGAAATAGATCCATCGACACAAACTTGGCTTGTTTTATGACAAATACCTCAGTGGTCACCCATCAGGGAGGGCAGATGGATGTAGTGTACACAGACTTTGCCAAAGCCTTTGACAAAGTTGATCATTCTATTTTATTGCGTAAATTAACAGCATATTCATTTAGTAAGCCTGTCATCAAGCTATTGTCTAGTTATTTACTGACAAGGAAACAACTCGTAACATTTCGTGGGAAATATTCTAGAGAATTTTTGGGCAAAGTCAGGAGTTCCACAGGGATCAAACCTCGGCCCTCTACTATTTTTTGCTTTTTATCAACGATTTGTCGGATAACATGCTAAGTAAGTCCTTACTTTATGCTGATGATTGTAAAATATTTAGGAAAATTAATAATCAGGATGACCATGATCAACTACAACAAGATCTTGATAAATTATATAATTGGACAATAAGAAACAAACTGGACCTTAATTTAAATAAATGCTTTATTGTAAGCTATACAAAAGTAAAAAATATAGTTAAATACAGGTATATCATAAATAATCATACCCTTGAAAGAAAAACTGAAATAACTGACCTTGGGGTAATTTTTCAAAGTACATTAAACTTTAATAAACATATTCAACAAATCGTACATAAATCAAAAAAAATGCTTGGTTTTCTCAAAAGAACTACATATGATTTCAAAAATATAGAAACAATTAAAGCACTTTATTCTTCTTTAATACGAAGTAGGCTGGAATTTGCAACAATTATATGGGATCCTGGGATATTAAACTTGAAGAAACTTCTTGAGACTGTCCAAAATAAATTTATTGCCTATCTTCATTCGGTCGTTCACCTGACCAAACCTCTTACGAAATAATAAGAAAGGATTTTAAATTAGTCAAATTGGAAAAACGAAGAATTAACCATAAGTTATTGTTTTTGTTTAAACTGCTAAATAATAAAATAAATTGTGAATTTTTACTATCTGAAATTAAATTTTATATCCCAGGTCATGTCGTTCGGCCTAAAAACAAACTTTTCTTTATACCAAAACATGCTGCTATTGGATAATATCTGCTGCATATATAATAACCACAATACATCTTTAAATCTGGATATATTTAATACATCACTTAAAACTTTCAAATCCCACTTGTTAAAATTAGAATTTACATAGAGATTTAAATATTATATATATAAAAAAAAAGGTTTCATTGTGAAACATGCTTACCTAATTTATATTGATTATTTTAAGATTTTCCAGATTTTCATTAATTCAATGAATATTTTTTATTTTAACATTCTTAATTATATACTATTTTTAATTCTAATGGAGCATTGGTAGATGCAAGTAGTTATAAGAATCGTAAATTATTTTTGTTTTTGTACTTATACTCGTATATATTTTTTATTTCTTTCCTCTTTTATATTAACTTTATTGGGAGCATTGGTAAATGCATTTAGTTGTAGTTTCATTTTTCTTAGGAGAACATGTAATGAGGTTATAAAACCTGTTTGTTCTCTGTTAAATAAATAAATAAATAAGTGATTACACTTGTTCGAAATGACTCAAAATAAAACAGTAATGACTTTGAAGAAAGCGGATTGTATTTAGATGAAATGAGACCAACCATTTGAAACTATCCTTGTATATATATTAACATATTTACAACAGATATAATGAAAAAGTGCAATTTTAGAGTCTGCCAATCAAATCCATAATAATGTCAACTTCTTAGGTAACTACGGGTTTTTAAGGATGAGCGGCGCCTAACACATTATTAAAGGGTTCAACCCCAACAGACTTAATTACTATTTTTATAGTAATTTATGATATTTAATCCCTTTTTATAATCGTCTAACTCTGGTCTTGCACTAGATGTTTCAAAATTTCTACTTGCCTTCTTTTTGATTAACCTTTTTAGCTATTTTAGGTTCAAGGTGTCAAGTGGAAGAAATACCCAACGTTAAACAAAATTTTAAAAGGCCATAGAAGTGGAGAGTTGACCATTTTTACGGGGCCTACTGGCTGTGGAAAAACTACATTTATTAGTGATTATTCTTTAGATCTGTCAATGCAAGGTGTAAGTCTGAATCAAGTTATCTTTTTTTTTTTTACTGTGGGAAAATGGACTGTCAATAATATATACATGGTGATGATCATATCCTATCTTGGAAATTTGGAAACCACAATGTACAACCTGCAAAATACAAAAAAGTTACATATTTATAATTATAGGATACTTTTTATTTTGCATAATTAACCAACACAAGTTTGCAATTGACTAAACAAAGTGGGCACATTTGAAATGGATATATAAATTTATTGCCTTAATCATTAACAGTCATTGTCAGAAATAAATGTCTAGAAATGAATTGAATTTTCTTAAAAACAAAACATTTAAAAACTGAACACTTAAATAATTATTTTCTCGGTTTTAGGAATGAATTTAAAAAAATTAAATAAACATATTTTTCTACACCCGTATTATAATAATGCACTTATATGCCCATAATCCGTTTCATAATGATACCCATTATGATACAGATTTTTCATTATGATACAGATTTTTAATCAATAGAAACCTACAATTTTTCAATCAAGCATGATGTTTGACGTTTGTCCTAAATTCCTATGTAATTGTTTTAGTTGTCAAAACGTATTAAATTTTCGTAGATAGCTAAACTTCGATAATTATAATATTAAAATGTCTGATATCAGCGATATAGAACACTCCTCCACACATATAGGAGAAAGGAGAAAATGCAGTACAAAATATTTTGCCCCAAAAATCTGTGGTAATACCAGTACCCAAGGTAATACCATTAATTACAATTTTGTAGAATTTTTTATAGAAATACGAGTAATTACTGTTATTGTGTTCAATACCAATATAAATAGAATATTTATAGGTCTTGATTATTTATCGGGTGTAGAAAAAATAGCGTATGCAACTCTCATGTAATGGTTATTAAAACACTCGCATAAACCATACGAAACTCGCCTTTGGCTCGTTTCGTATCCCGGTTAATGCTCGTGTATTAATAACCATCATTACATGATCGTTGCATAATATACTATTATCTGTAAATATCTATCAACTTCTATAATTAAAAAAACAAAAGAAATTTTCATTGCTGTTTTAGAGATAATAATGTAAACACAAGATATGTGCATGTTTACCATGTCTATATTTGAGATTACATTTGATGAGACAACTTGTTTTTAACTTCGAAATAAAGATTTCTAACTCTTTTTCTATTTAATACAGGTAAATACGTTATGGGGTAGTTTTGAAATCCGAAATGCGAGATTAGCAAAGACGATGTTACAGCAGCTGTCTGGTATCCCTTTAGATGAAAATTTGCATTTATTTGACTACTGGGCCGACGAATTCGAGAAACTACCTATATATTTCATGACATTTCATGGACAACAAACTATCAAAGTTGTAATGGAAGTAAGTAAAAATGTTGTTCATTCTTTCCCTTCTTTCATTTATTCCATATTTTATATTGATATCATTCCCTGACTTATTTATTTCTCGATTTCTTTCTATACATTTTTATAAGTACATAATATCTGACAATACAATGTGATATAGATGTAGCTAAAACAGATTAAAATTTAGACTCTTTACACTAAATCTATCCTAAAATTTGATGCACTTGCTGTTTCTAAATTTTTAACGCCCTTCTGGATTTCGTCAATACTTGTAATTTAAATTTGTAAAGCTTGGTCCTTTCGTAATCTATCTATAACATATAATTTCTTCCTAAGGCAATCGAACACGCTACCTACGTCTACGATATTTCCCACATCATCATCGACAATCTTCAATTCATGATGGGTACATCAGAAGATCAAAAGTACATGGACAGGTTTTGGAAGCAAGACGTCATTATTGCTTCCTTCAGAGAATTTGCTACGCGTAAAAATTGCCACGTGACCCTAGTGATACATCCCAGAAAAGAAAGGGAAGACGATGATCTGACCACCAGCTCCATCTTCGGCGGAGCGAAGGCGTCTCAAGAAGCCGATAATATCCTTATTATTCAAGATAAGCGACTGACGTCGATTAGGGGGAAGAAATATTTGCAGGTTAGTAATTTATTAACATAGAAAGTTATGTAAGGGTTATGGCGACATTGCTGCAAGTTTTTTTAACACTCAACAGCTTACATAATATATTATTGTAATACCAGTACACTATACCGTTGTTGTATGTGGTTATGGGACTTATGGTGGATAGATATACACAACCTAATAATAAACGTTCTAAACCAGTTGCTATAATTCACGTTATAACTAACTTATAACTTTATAAAAAAAATGGTATTAGGTAATAACAATGGGATTTAAAAAACGATGTTAAGAGTTGTATTATTTGGTTTTAATAATAGATTATTTATTTTTTTTATTTAAAAAGACTACTAGATATAAAGATTGAGTTACTTCTTAGTTCCATCTTGCAAAATAACATTACCGTAGTTACCAAAATTTTAACATTTTCTATACAGTGTGTCCCAGATTCACTTCTCTATACAGGGATCTCGACTTCTATTATATCTACAGCAAAGGTTAAATGGGAAAAGTTAGAGGAAACTTAGTGCATTTGATAATTGGCTGCAGATTTACGATCGGACAGTTAGTTATGGAAATATCGGCGAAAAGCTAAAAATGTGGGATTACGTTTTTTGCCTGCAAATCCGAAACAAATAATTTGACAGTTGCCAAAATGTGACATTATTGGGACACTTTTTTAAGACGAATAAGATAACGTGCATGCCATGTCTCAATCGTCTTTTGTTATCCCGCAATCCGCGTCAACTTTCATTTTTCTTGTGGCCGCCATATTGAATTTCTCAATTTTTTGAAAGACCGAAAAATTCCAGTCTTGTGATATCTCACAAGTGCCTAAAAGATTTGAGTATTATCAAAATATTGTCACAATTATTCCTTAAATGGAATTAAATTATTTTTATTCGACTCAGTAAATAATTTAACATCCGGTATGTTAAATTTTTTTCTGAATAGTTTCGAAATACTTTTAAGAGGAAAATTTACATTACAAACTGAAAGACCTGCGGGGCAACGGTAGTTTAGTAGGTATAAAAATTACAACTTTAGGGTGGAGCCTAAATACTACAAAATTACTTCCGAGACTAAACAAAATCCGGATTCATTCATAATTTTAACAATTGCCTGTAGATACGAGGGATACGTATTCCAAACTCTAACGCGCGAAATTAAGAAAAAAGAACCGAAAACACCTAACACGGCTGCCGAGTGAGTCAGAGTTACCTAAATTAGGGGAACCAGAATCGTATTTGTTTTTCTGGGTGCATTGCGAGATATTGTTATAACGCAGTTCGATTTTTAGAGGGTTTTACATTATTTTTATATTTTAATTTAGTGAATAGGTTTAGTTAGATTAAATTACATTTAAGAGTATAGAGTTGTGAAATATAAATACAAATAACGAAAAAATAGACGATTGGTTAGAATAAGGTAATATCAATTAATACAGGGTATTTATTGAGTGCCGATACTTAGAGGTGCGAATCCTTTGGGTGTTAAAGTTTTAAGAAAAAAAAAACTATTTTATCATAAGTTTCTTATCACTCTAGATATTTTTATGAAATTTTGCCCAAAAAAAGTGTTTCCACTCATAATGGGTTCCTACCAAATTTCAACAAAATATCAAAAGCAGTTTCAATATACTGGTTTTTATTTTCTTACCCGAAAAGGGTGCTTTGTACGAAAGTACGTCATAAACCAAATTTGCTCCAAAATAAATAAGGATTTTAAAGATAATTTGGTTTTTAGAAAAAGCAGTGGCGCACCATATTTTTGTTCAAAAATATTCAGTTCAAACCCGGTACGGACGTTACTGGTAAAAATTTAAAAGTCTTTTACGACAAAAGGTGAGATTGAAAGTGAAAGTTTAGTCTGTTATATATATATACTATATTTATATATCTAACTTTTATTATTACACTGAATGTGATATAGCTTTTTTGTTTGCCTTTTTTGGATCAACAAAATATTATTTTAATGATTTAAAATAAACTGCCAGTAATAATAATTATCTGTACTTAAACATATGCAAAGTGAAATCATAAAACGACGCATCAAGAAAGCACAAAATTATTAAACTTTTAATTTACGTAAGATGTATTAAAAGTAATTTTAAAAAACCGACTTTAAAATCGTGCAGATGCCATCACCACATCTGAACCAAATTTATATGGGACCACCCCTGAGGTACCCCCTTACTAACGAAAAGCATTATAGAAATCGGACAAGGTGGTAAAGAATTATCGCTAAACATACATAAAAAATGAAAAGTTTGAGGATTTTCCCATTGACCCAATTATTAGATTTTGACTAAATTTTCAAGGGACCATCCCGGAAGTACCCCCTTTCCAGCACAAAAGAATCATTTAAATCGGACATTGTGTTAAAGAATTATCGCTGAACATACTTAAAAAAATATATACAGACGAATTGAGTAGGTTAAAAGGATATAGTAATCTATATTATTTGTATTAACTAAAAAACTACTATGTGGAGTTATATACATCTTCTTAAATTAATCTTATATGTAAAAATTTGGGTTCGATTCCTAGAAGAGTACCTAAGTTCACTGTGCAGCCAAATTTATATTTATGGTACAGAATTTTTTGAATAAATAAAGTTTTAGGTTTAATTAAACACCAAGTTTTATCAGGAATAACATTTTCTGAAAAAAGTAACATAAAAAGCAGACTTTTTGCGAGCCACTATATATATTTTAGAGGACAATCCATATTATTTTAGAAAAATAAATAAAATTTTTGTATAAACACATAAATGTGATTTATCTTTTAGAATATTTTATATGTTTGTCAAAGTTTACTAATTTAAAAAAAAAGAAATATTATTCAAAATTTTTCTTAAATTTTTTAACACGGTACAAAATACCTTAATCCGTTTATAGTTATCGAAATTAGTAAAGAATTTTAACTTGTTTAAAAAGCGTTCTTACTCTTTCCATTTCCTATAAAAACTAATAAACCTTTTTGAAATCGGTATTCGGTGACTTTTCTTCTGTTTTATTGCCTTGAAAATGACATGATTTACATAAAAAACAAAAACTGACTTATTATTTTTGTGAAATAAAAATATGTTGTTATTTTCACAATTTTCGACTACTCTTTGTTTCCAAAAAAGAAATACGATGTTCTTCTGTAGATATTAACACATTGTTTAATTGGCTTTTTTTTTTTTTTTTTTTTTTTTTAATATTCTTTAGTATTTTCATAATTTGGGAAACAGTATAGCATTGAAACTTCTATACCTGAAAAATTGTGAGTACGCTTTTAATTAATTGTCTGTTTTTTATCTCACAATGTCTCGATAATTATGAGTATTCTTTAACAGAGATATATTTATTTGTATTATGGAAATGTTTATGTCGACAAACTTACGTTCGATATTTGTATCAATTTGTAAAAATAACTCTTGTATAATGATAATATTAAATTTAAAGGTTTTAAATAAGGACTTGCAGATATCACAATTCGAATTTTTTTTTATTGGCCATAAAACTTTTTTTGGAATGAAAGCATTAGTTTCTGTTTTTCAGTTAAGCTCCATAAATTCATATTTTAATCTGAACGCTACTTAAGCACAGTAAAGTTGCAACAACTAAACAATATAGTGAACTTTTCGAAAATTTCTAAATGAAAATCAATTTATATTTAAAATTAAATAAGTTAACTAACATTTTTGACCGTTATGAAGTTAATAAAGTTATAAATAACGTCGTTACAAAGATTTATGTTTGGATTTTAAATTTCTATTGATAATAGTTACTCATCTACGTATTACAATAACAATACCTACATGACTTGGCATTGACACAAAACCCTGTATAGTAAAACTTCTAATCCGAATCAAAATCTTGAAACTATTATTTGGGGACTTAAAATCGTGGTCCACTAGTTGGTGTAGCCTTTTAAAACATTTGGTATAATAATAATAATAATAATAATTATATATCATCAATTACCACTGCCACTGGTAAAATCTTAAATTTAAAATAGTGTATTATAATAATAAGACATTAATCATATCTTAAATGGATCGCCTACTACCATGTTTTAGAAATAAATAAAATTTAATTCTTAAATTAATAAAAATATTCAAAATAATATAAGATTCCTTGCGTTATGTTAATAAACATTAAACAAAATTTCTCACGAATTATTTAATATTCTGTCCCGTACTTCCATGTCTCTATTGCTTCGCTGTCAACAAGTTCCGGCAAGACATATTGCATATAAGAAATTTTAATTTTATTTTGTATCTTTTCTTCTCAAAAGCTGTCAATATGAGATATTTTCTCCACTTTTATTCCTCCAGAAGTCCAAAAGCACAAAAGCACAAAATGCAAAATCCATTTGTGTTATGTGCAGCTAGCCCTGAATTTGAAAATACCAATAGTGGTTGTCCTTAATGGAATTGTTCTTTTTCCAAAAAGTTATTTCTCTACTGCATATTTCTTCTGCTACAGTCAGCCCTTCAGCTCTATATGGACATTTTAATTCTATCATAGAGTTTTGTTTTTTTTTTTAATTCCATCCAGACTGGCAGCAACATAATCAAATTCGAATTCAATAAAATGTCCACATTTAAAAACTTTTACAAATAAATAAATTTCCAAATCTTATTTTGCTCTGAATTTATGGTCTATGTCATATCGGGTGGCTTTAGAAATAAATAAAAGATTTTAGGAGATTTTTTACAAATTTTTCCAAATTTTAAAGCAGTGGAAACGAGTCTTTTATTATACCACAATGCACAATCAGCTTGTTACAATCGTTTTTCTCTCATTTATAGACATTGGCTAACTTTTTAGAAAATGTTCTCTTGCAACGCGCCTCAAAGGGTGCGACAGATCAAAGCCATGCGCGAAAGCAAAAAAACATATTTACATTACTTTAACGGATTGAAGAGATATTAACATGCTGGAATTAATAATTATTGTTGACTCGAAGAAGTATTCATTAAACAAAAACATATAATTCACATCTCAGTGTATACCTTCCAATTTC